CTACTAGCTGCTAGGTTAAAATTAGTAAAAGACTAGTACTGGAAATGAATGTTGTGAATGTAGTTAACTGTGGCGGTCAGCAGGAAGCCTGTGCTCATCAATATGATGTGCTCTTCAGTTGAATACTAATTCTTCTATTACTCATGTGTTTTAAATAGCAACTACCACTTCCACACAGTTTGAATATAAACCCTAGCCATGACCACAGGCTGCGCGTACAGTGGCAAACACTATGCACTATGCCAGTGGTTCTCAACATGTGTTACCTCAGGACCCACATTTGTCCTTGGTCATTAAGTCGCGACCCAAGTCGCACTGCAATGGAACGCACGGCATTAGGGTACCGCACGTTCCAGTGCGAGCGTACGAACTGTGGGTGGCAGGTGTGTTTGGGGTACCATTCAAATGAATGGTAATGCAACACACCTCCCACACCAGAATGCACGGTAGGTTCAATTACATGGTACAGTGAGTTATTCGCACAGTACTATGTGATTAACGCACTGTACTAGTGTGAATGGCCCTCAAAAACACTGACATACACACACAATCAGAGACAATCTCACAAACTCACAGACATTCTCACACACACATACACACTGCAAAATGTTGTTTTAGGTCATGGCCATGGCAAAGTCATACCGCTGCTATATACACTGGGACCCCAAAAGTCACCCTGTAAGGATCACCATGGCCATACCTCTGCCATGGCCATAACTTTTAGTTGTTTTTTTTAAGGTCCACCCAACCTCCCTACCTCACAAAAACTGGAGTGGATCCTCCTGGAGTCCAGTGTGGGCTGCTGCGCTGTGACGGAGCTCCATCCATATGTGCATTGCTTGTACAACTCCTTTACGCGCCCTGTAGAGGTGCCAGGAGCCAAAATGTGATGTCACTCACCTACAAAAAGTGGAAGGTTTGCAGTGACCCACTGAAAACAGGGTCGCGACCCACTATTGGGTCACGACCCACCAGTTGAGAACCAAGGCACTATGCTATGTAAGTAGCAATCATACCATCCTAGAAGACCAATAGTAGATTAGAACATGATAAAATATAGGAACTTTCTTGGGAGCAAATGTTCTCAAACAACAATCATATATATAAAAAAAACTAATTTTTATTTAGCATCATTGAAAAGCCCCAGTGAGGTTAATTATGCAAAGTTTTCTAAAAACAGTATAATACAGAAGCTTAGCAGTAAATATGTAACTCATACACAAAATATATTTCTGCATTTGTATATGTTATTAAAAAAGAACTATGAGGTGAGTGATTTCCACTCATCCTCATAATTAGAGCCGACCTGTGACAAAGAAGCTGTCACAGGTCGGCTCAATTGATCGAGGAGTGAGCGGAAACATGCCGCTGATCTGATCACTTCCCGATCGTCTCCCTGTAGAGAGCGGTGACTGTCAGTGCTCACACAGCAAGGATTCTCCCCCCCCCCCTCCGATCCTCCAGCGCTGAGTGGAGGAATGGACGCGGGAGGGGGCGGGCACAGCCGACTCTGCCTCTACATAGGCAGAGCCCACTGTTACTCACACAGCTGAGTGGATCATGACAGTTTGTTGGGATCCGTCCCGGCTTTGGCGCTCTCAGTATATCGCAGCAATAGCACGCTATATACTGAGCTTAGGGTCACGGGAGGAGGTTAGTATATGTCCTCCCGTGACCCCCAAAGAGAACAATGGGGAAAAACACCTACCCCATAGTTCTCTTTTTATTCTTTTTAAAGGACTCTGACATGTTTCCCTGATCAATGCCTACTTCTTTGGAGTGTGACAGAGTAGCACTTTATCACTGTACAGCGATTTAGAGTAAGCATAGTTTGGCATGGAAGAAGTCACTGACCAAGTTGTAAGAGAGTTGTAAGGCAAGGGGGAAACATGTGTGAACAGAAGCATGAGAAGCGTGTCTGTGTTCTGGCCTGATAGACAGATATCCTGAGAGAAACATTGGGTGTCTGTGCTGAAACAGTCTACCGCTCTGAGGAGACTAAATATAGCCAAAAGGCTGAATATTTTCACTTGCATTTATGAAAAAAACCTGTGAGGGAAGCCTATTGTAAAGGTGTAATGACAAATAAAACTGGGCGAGGAGCCCTTCAACCACAAGCTGGTGAGTCCTTGGAGCCCTACCTTTGAAATGAAACCAACACAAGAAGAATATATACCAATCAGCCACAACATTATGTCCACTGAGAGGTGAATTGAATAACATTGATTATCTCATTACAATGGCGTCTGGAAGTGGGTGGGATTTATTAGGAAGCAAGTGAACATTTTGTCCCTGAACATGACGTGTTGGAAGCAGAAAAATGAGCAAGCGTAAGGATTTGAGCGACTTTGACAAGGGCCAAATTGTGATGTCAGAGCAACTCCAAAACTGTGGCTCTTGTGGGAAGTTTCCGGTCTGCAGTGCTCAGGATCTACAAAAAGTGTTCCAAGGAAGGAAAACCGGAGGGCCAGTGACAGGGTCATGGGCGACCAAGGCTCACTGATGCACGTGGGGAGCGAAGGCTGGCCTGTGCAGTTCGATCCAGTAGAAGAGCTACTGTAGCTCATATTGCTGATAAAGTTAATGCTAGTTCCGATAGAAAGGTGCCTGAACACACAGTGCAATTGCAGTTTGTTGTGTATGAGGCTGTGTAGCCGCAGACCAATCAAGGTGCCCATGCAGACCCGTGTTCACTGCTAAAAGTGCCTACAATGGGAGCATCAGAACTGCACCAGGCGGAAAAGGAAGAAGGTGGCCTGGTGTTGCTTATATGGGGAAGACATGGCACCAGGATGCACTATTGGAAGAAGTCAGGCTGGCCGAGGCAGGATGATGCATTGGGCAATGTTCTGCTGGGAAACCTTGGGTCCTGCCATTAATATGGCATCCATAATTGTATGGCTGATTGGTGTATATCTGTTCATATCCAAAAATTCTACACATTTTGAAAACAAAGAATACATTAAAATTCAACATAAACAGTAACAAATACAATAAAGTAGGCACTACAATACACATGCATATTTAACCCCTTGACGACCCATGATGGGATAATTCCGTCATGAGTCCTCAAGGCTGGCCCCCCTATGTGATAGCAATTAAAGGTTAAAAAAAACAACAAAAACTTACTATTAATATTAAATATAATGAATGTCAAAATAATTAATCTATCTTTTACAAAATTGCAGGGGATTCAATCTGCTTCAGCTCTGGCTGTGTGTTCGTCTGTGCCAAGCCGAAGCATGTGTGTTCAGCCCGGATGTATACTTCGGCTGCTGTATGAGCTATTGTGAATAGCATGTAGAACAGCCATTTGGTTCGGCTGAAGGATCCTTCCTGCAGCCGAGCTGAAGGCTTAGCCGAACGTTCAGCTAAGTCCTTCGGCTCTTTAGTGAAAAACCCTCTAAATTGTAAAAAAATTGACACCTCTCAGGGTAGGGCCTATTGCAGGAGTAGGCAACCCCAGCACTCCAGCTGTGTGGGAAACTACAAATCTCATCATACCTCTGCCTCAGGCAGTCATGCCTGTGGCTGTCAGAGTCTTGCAATGCCTCATATTCGTGCTTATTGTAAATTATGGTTAGATTATAGCTACAGAAATGGAGCAAAATAGTTTGTCACTATTAATCCTGGGTGTCTTGTTGCTTTAAGCCTATAGAGCACAACTAATTATGATTGTATTAGCATTCTATTGATATAACCTATATATGATATATATGATCAAGCACAATAAAAGAAGCCTTGGATGCATCTTAACTGTGATGTTGAGCAAAATGTAATGCGACTAGGGAGCTTAAATCGCTATGCCCTATCATGCATACATGATTGTAAATATGTCTAAGCCCTTTCCTTGTAGTTTTTCCCTCATGATATACCTTATATTAATATAGGAGCAAGTAAATCACATCAGTAGTTGAACAGTACTCTGAAGAAGTGGACATTGTCCCAGGAAAGACATCAAAACAGTCTTTTTGGAGCATTTATGCCCATTTATGTATTCAAAAATGTTTTTCACGTACACATTAAATATTCACTGATAAGTTGGATAAGTTGCATAGTTAACCCAAGTTGAGATTTTTGTTTAAATGATTTTAAATGAGAAAACGTTTCTGTTCTTTTATTTATGATGACTGTAGTTTGAGAGCATTTGCTACCATACCAAGAAAGTCCCCATTCTTTATTGTGTTCTGATATACTATCCTATGTGTCATCTGAATCGAGAATATTTGTAAGGTGTTTCTCCCAGAGAACAGTGCGCCAAATTGTTTGGCTTTTCTCCACAAATACACAACAGTAGCAGGGGTATTGCTAGGAATCTACACGGTCTGGGCATCCTGGGACACTAATCTTGGAATAAATGGCGCTATGTGCAAGAAGTGAACTGGGTGTAGTTAACATGTCAGAACAGACTCTTCAGCTTCTAATATCCCCCCGGTCCACATCCCTGGCTCAATAGCAGACTCTACCTAGAAATATGTCCCCCATCTCTGACTCAGCAGCGTCTCTTTAAATACCACTTCGTCCCTCAACCTCAGTACCACAGTCCCTTTGGACGTTTCTCAGTGTCTCCATTCGTAGTTCAGCAGAAACCATACCAGAAGATAGCACTATCCCCATTCCTGACTCAGCAGTATGGATGCAGATACCACTACCCCTACTCCCACCCAATTCTCATCTCAGCAGTAGAGTGTGGCGGGAAATGTAACTCTCTCCATTCTGGCTGAGCTATACCAGAGCAGCTTGGTGATCCATCCTGGGTGTCTGCATCCTGCTGATGAGAAGAACCAACCAGGGGGCTTATTTAGTAAGACAGTGCAGACCTATGATGAGCAAAGCACAGTAATCCATAGCTACCATACATCAAATAACTTTTTGGTTACCATTCTCTGTACTGTACTATGGCTTTTTGCACTGTACATGTAAGTTATAGAAAAACTATTAGAAAGAAAAATCCACACTGCTTAGTAAAAATAAAAGTAATGTGACATTGAGAAACATACCATACCATCCTATTGGGGTGATAACATGTGGCCTTCCCAGAAGAGGCAAATATTGCCAGAATTTCTGCTTTGTGGTCTTTATCTTCTTGAACAATGCAGATAGCTTCTTTTACTTTACTTGGAATGACTATAATGGCTAAGTTACCAGATGGATAGCTGAAGAACCTTGAGAAAAATAACCAAATACATACAACATGCGTGTCTGTACAGTCAAAGGGAATACAGTGCTTTTTCTACATATGCCTTATGTATCACACTATCTGCCATACTTATTGAATGAATTTAAAGGGTCAACTATCTAAAACAGTTATTTTATGTAAGATGCTCGGCTGAAATATAACTGATGATTTGTGCCTCTTAGGAACTCCAGATTATGACCTCCCTTTTAGAATCTTCATCTCAAAAAGGAGTTAAAATGTTTCTAATGCTTTCTGTGTAACATAAAATAAATAAAAACCCAGCAGGTGCCAGTAAGGTGGTCAAAAGCAGATTGTCAGACGCAGTCTCTGACTGATATAAGAAACTGGTGGGCATCAGTTATGAGTCAGCATATTTAAATATCAGCATTTGGTGGACTGACCTTTAAGTAGATGGAAAGGATGTTTTGTCAAAAATACTGGAAAGATGCTAATGTTATGCAGAAGCACAGGTATACAGTATAAGACATATCCATGCCACCAAATCATATCTCCACAAAGTACAATAAAATCCAGAAAATGCACGGCATATGGCTCAGGTCTAACATTTCTAACCCTAATTCAGGGAAAGGATCCTTATTCTTAGGTTACAGGTTTGTGAATTGAGCCATACAAGCATCCAATAAACGCAGCACAATTCCGGACAACACCCTCCTCCCTGCCCTAGGATCACCCACCCCTTAGGTTTCTGTAAAAAATGGATTTGTAACATTTTGCTTTTGCAATTCTGAATCAAAAGAGAAAAATCAAGAGCACACAACCTGGCATTATGTGACACTGCTGAATTTTATCTAATTTCTGAACAAGTTTCATACCTATTTGTGCTCCTGTTTATTAACGCTCTCAATATCTTATCAGAATCAATTTTCTAATCTGTATTGAGACATTTCCACTTTTAGTGAATTTCAATTGTTTGCAGCTGTAAAACTACTAAAATTACACCAGTACAGATAGATTGCAGGTAGATTTTTACACGAACGTTCGTACGAAGAATTCAATCAGAATGTTTGATAATACGATCAAAGGCTTGGCGATTGTCATTCCAAATTTTGTTTGATTTTCATTTATTTAACATTTGGTTTTGTAATGAATGGCGTTTTCCAAAACCACATTCACTGTCTATTTCACTGCATCTACAATTAGAAAGTCGAATGAATGTTCCAAAATTGATTTTGTTAGTTCGAAATTCTAACCGTGTATAATAAACTTGGATAAGTTGAATTAGTTGAATAAGTTGAATTGTCACATACAAACAAGGCATCTGTAATAAAATGGAATGTAAAGTTTGGAATACAAAGGATACAAAATCTGTGCAGTCCCATCTGGAAGCATTGTGAGGAATTTCCTCCCTGTTCGGTAGTATTTTTCTACATATCTCTCTGGCATGATCTGAAATAAAGCATGAATCTGTATGAAGCAACATCAATATATATTACAGCTACATTAAAGGGTTATTTGACCAGAAATGTACTTATAACTGGAGTTTTGCGAGTCACCATAGTTACTGGCCACAGTTCCTGTATCTCTTTCTGTCTACCATGTTTTTTAGTGTTTGTTCAGTACTTGAGGTGTTCCTTATCTTACTGCCACACTTGTTATAATGTAAAATAAACTCTTGAATAGAGATCGAGGGTACAGTTCATGCCTGAAATGGAGCTATGTTGAGGTTCTAAACGTCCTTATCAAGATTTAATACTGGAATTTGTTAAGATGTTGTATTTTGATTCAAGGACAAATTATATATTTTTGTCTATTTTATATATTCATTTCATTTGATCTATTTGGAGCCCTTTGTGCAAATTTGATCTATTTGGAGCCCTTTATTTCAACAAAAATAAAGATAGAGAGTGGCACATCCTTGTAATGACAACTGGGTACTCAAATGGGATTTCAAAGAAATAAGAGCAAATGTAAGGCTACCTAACTCTTTTTTTACCAAACATTACAGATCAGCCAGACACGTCATAAAGGTGGACTAAAAGGAACTAAAATCGTCCCCCACGTGATTATCTGAGAAACACAGAAAACAGAAGGTATTTGCAGATCTCACTCCCATCAACTATAAAATCTTTGTATGCAGTTTGGAATAAATGGCTCTATAATATTAGGCACTATCTGTACTATAAACCAGCCATTTTAGATGTGCAGTTGGCACAACCAGGCAAAAGGAATGAGTTGCATGACCTGCCCGCTATCCTAAAATGAGGAATGAGCCCTTTCTTTTTGGATCCGTTATGAAAGAGATACCTGCAAATACCTTCTGTTTTCCAAGAAGGTTCTCCTGAAACATTATAATTGGGTGGGTTGGTTACAACACAACAATGAAGTTTGCTGAAACCAAAATTAAAGTATAATGTTTTAAGAAAAATGTATCTAATGCTTACATGGTTCAGATTTTTTGATATCCACTGCCTGGCTTTTTGTTTCAAAACTATTCTGCCAGTCATTTTAAGATAAATATTCATTTCTATGAGGTCCCATTCACACTAGTGGGTTGCAGTAATGCTCAGTAAAACAGGCACTTAACTTTATTTTATCAGAATGCGCAACAACACAAGACATAGAGAAGCCCTCCTATTGTAGGCAGAGCAGCACAATGTGCTTATGTTGTAGTACACCACAAAGAAAATATTTTAAGCATCGGTGTATTGTGGTGTACTACTTTACAAAAACAATACAAATCCGATTTTCAGTGTGTTGGCAGCCCATTCTAAATAAATATCATGCCCAACTAGGTGTTACCATAGCACACTAGGTGTGAATGAGCCTTAATTGCTCTTCATTATTAGGGAAGGGGGCAAATCTGGCTAGGTTCCATTTGGGTGGGGGGGTTTACCAAATCCTATTTGAAATTTGCAATACCCAAATCCCATTTAACTCTGATGGGAAGGGGCAAATCTTGATACTACATTCTGGCCATTTTTAGGGTCAGTATAGACTTGGGCGATCTGGGACACGTGTGCCAGGACCGCGCGATCGTGCACACTTGCACACAGCGATTACCCCGCGGGCCCCATTGGTTTCAATGGGGTTACAATAGCGTGGCAATCACAGAAAAAAAAGGTACATGTACCTTTTTTTGTGACGCACACGACGCGTGTCTGTTTTAGCCAGGGTCGTGTTCGATTGCACTGGCGAAATCGCGGCGGGAAACCGTGCAATCTGCCCGGCGCGACTGGTGTATGATCGGCAGTGGTGTGCGACTCCATGACTGCACTCCAATCTGCGTGGTATCATGCACGATTTCCGCATGGTCACGGATCGCCCAGGTGTGAAACTGGCCTCACGGCTAATAGGCAAGATATTGTGAAGCACATGAGGAGCACCTACAGTGCAAGAAGAAATATGTGAACCCCTTGGAATTAACTGGTTTTCTACAGTAATTTCCTTCAATTTCTACTAATTACCATTTCACTTGTAAAGTCACAAAGGGAAAGTTCATTCTCTGCTGAGTCTGTACTTGTCATGGAATCTGCTTCTTCTGGAACAATGGTCCAGTTGTCTCCTACTGGAGGGGCATTGGAAAGCTGGTAGGAAATGGTTTTCATTGGCTTTCCAACTGTTATTTAAAGGAAAAAGAACATCTATTAAAAAAGTATCAGAATGTTATGAAATAGCCATCTGTATAGACGTTTCTCTGAAAAAGAACAGATATACCTGTCTTACATTTCTGTAATCCAGAGGGGTGATCTGTAAACCAGACAGGACCAGGCACCTATCCAGTGAAAATACAACTATCTATAATTACCCAAAAGATTTATTTCTTTTTCGTGTGTATTTTTGCCCTTGCCCCTGTAACCCTGGACAGGCAACTGTAATAGAAACATTTAAACCATACACTGCCTGGCCAAAAAAAAGTCACCTGGGATTAGCTAAGCAAAAAGGTAAGAACTATAGGGGTTGCATCAGTTGGTCAGGTCTAGTTTCAGCAACGTTATATGCCCAGAAAATGAGGTTAGCCTATCTGAATAAACTGAATGACCAGGTTTTTCAATCAATAGATTTATTCTTCCCTGATGACAATCCCAGGATTCCTAGGGATTGATGTGAAGGGGAAACTTTGATGTGAAACGGTGGGTGGGCTCTGATGTGAAGGGTGATTCAAATGTGAAAGTGGGGGACTCTGATGTAAAGTGTGGGAGATGGGGGGTGGATGGGTGGGTGGGCTCTGATGTGAAGGGGGGACTCTAATGTGAAAGTGGGGGGCTCTGATGTGAATGGGAACTCTGATGTGAAAGTAGGAGACTCTAATGTAAAGTGTGGGGGACTCTGGTGTGAAAGAAGGAGATTCTGATGTGAACAGAAGACTCTCATGTGAAAGAGGGGGGCTCTGATGTGAAGGGGAACTCTGATGTGAAAGGGGCTCCTTTTGTAAAGGGTGGGCTTTGATGTAAAAGGAGACTCTAATGTAAAGAGGGGACTCTGATGTGAAGGGGGCTCCTGCTGTGATGAGGGACTCTGACGTAAAAGGGGTGGACTTTAATGTGAAGGGGGGAGACTCTGATGTGAAGGAGGGCTTCTGATATGAAGGAGGGGCTCTAATGGGAAAGAGGCACTCTAAGGTGAAGGGGAGCGCCATTTAAGACAAGGGTGCCTCCAGATTTTGCATACTTTCACAGGGTAGCATGAAAAAAGGTTGAGAAACACTGCTTTAGATGATGAAGTAAGGGTCGGGATCAGGCTGTTTATGACCATATAGTTACAAATTCAGATATTTCCTATCCCAGTATCACATCTGGGACAACAGCAGATTTATGCTTTGATGTGTTAAATGTAAACTTTTTTTTTTTACAGGGCATACGTAGAAATGAAGCTATTGTACTGCTGGCTCCATATTCCCTAAACCAATATTCCTCAGCTTTATTCAAGAATGTACTAATTAAAAAGGCCACAGTTTGCCAACATAATGTATCCCCATAATCTGTATTACTATCTCAACCCATAATATCTGTTCATTTATTATTAGAATGCCTTAACGACATAAAAATGTATTGAACTAAACTGCTTTCTAAGAACTGTTTAACATCTGATGTTTTATTTGGTACATCTTTATAGTGTTACAATAAATTTTGTTTAACAAGCTAATGTATCCCCCTGGGGTGTATGTACCTTTGGTTAAGAACGCAGACCACAGACTAAATGTTATAAGTAATGTACACATAGCCCAGAGCATTTGAGGTATAAAGGAAAATAGCAACACAGTTAGGTGTAATGGGTTCATTTCATGACGAAGGACCAGGAGTATAAATATATATTCTGATGAATGCATGCAAGGAAAATGACTGTGTGCTTATAGAGCAATCAGCCTTCAAGTACTGCAATTCTGTTTTTTTTTTCTATGGCATTCATTCCACCATTGAAAAGTAAAGAAATGTTTATTTTCTGACTGTTGCTAAAGAGCAATTGAATATAAAAATTGGGGAACATTGACAGGGTTATTCACAAAAGGGTGAAGAGTTTGGAGAAGCGGGAGAAGTGAACAATCTAGTCCAAAATAGCTGATTTGGAAAAAATATCCAATTCAGCTCACTTTCCAGTTCAGCTATTTTGTCCTAGATTGTTCACTTCTCCTGCCTTCTCCGAATTCTTCACCCTTTTGCAAATAGCCCTGAACGTCTGTCCTATTTTACTGCTGCTTGAGTTGCTTTTGGGAAGATTTTCCCTCACTTCCTATCCTAATAGCAACAATGTCACCATTATAGGATGACAGAGGATTTAACCTTCCCCCACCATATTAAAAAAATGTTTTTGCTGGTGTGCCCCTGTTAACTTTGGCTTTAATTACACTGTAAGCCTGCCACAATTGCTCATGAACACATTTAAGCCTACCACACAAAATAAATATTACAGACAGTGCTATTTTTCAGAGGTAAGCACAGGAAGAATTATTACACAGTGTACACTGGGCTCCTTATACAACGCTAGCTTATGAAGTCATTGTCAGCCTAGTAAATGCTATAAATGACTGTAGAAAAGTAACTGTAAACAGCCTATTCTTCTTGTAATAGCAAAGCAATCATGTGGATAAAGCTTTTTTATAGAGTAAAATGGAGTGAACATGTAAAACTGGCTACAGCTGGGCACAGCTTCTGTTTAGGTTATGGATTAGAACTGGCTAATATTAGACATGCACGGTGAGTTGTGCTGCAGTGTAAACAATATATTGAATTGGACAGGAGCGTCATAAGATTAATTTATTGTAAGTGTTTGTTTTTCCAACACGTCGCTCATAGATTAGAGACAGAAAAATACATACGAGATAGATGATAGATAGCCGGATTTACTCTCTCTGCTGCTCCAAGACCAGGTTCCTCAATGCGCCCCCCTCCCCGTCAAACCCCCCCAATCCCAAAATAGGAGCTGTCTATAATAATCAAACAGGTAATGATAATGTAACAGCGCTCGTGTCCAATATCAGTGACTCTTTGTGACCATAACTAACGGTCACTAGATTCTCATCTACATCAATCAACACAGGGCGATATCAGGGAGGACTTGTTTGTCATTTTAATTGATTTTAGATGTTCTTTGTCAGTAGGTGTATTTATATGTTTTTCTACTTTTATTATTAATTCTCATTAAAATTTTGTTACATTATCATTACCTGTTTGATTATTATAGACAGCTCCTATTTTGGGATTCCGTATTTTCGGGGAACTTTGCTTATTATAGATTGACGCTGGAACCCAGGAGTTTTTTGTCCACTTTATTGTTATTTGAGGCGCTTCTCCTTTCCCCATTTGTTATCATCACCGAGATCACTTGTAAACAAACGAACGGCTTCTCGTTGTACATTTAGCCCTGCTTGCCCAAAACAGGGCTAAATGTAGAGAACAACTACCCGCCCAGAGCCGGGGACATGCAGTTCGGGAGATTCTACACCCCTGTCACCTCTCTGCTCCCTGCCACCCCAAGGCCGGGCCTCAGTAAAACGTGCTGCCCACCTACTAACATAGCAACCTACACTTTGTAGTTAAATCTGGACAGAGAATCTATCAACCTAGCAAAGAGGAGGCATCCTGACATTTCCTAAGGGATGTGAAAGACAACCAGATCTACTAGAGCTGTAAAACCCTATTTATTTGAGCCATGCAAAAAGCTTGAGTTCATATGCCCCCTTAATAACAACTTAAAACTCATGGCAAGATATAAAAAAACGATAGCTGGGTTTCAAAGAACGGCAAGAAAAAATATCTGAAGTAGCTACCCTGGGAACATGAGCCAATAAGCGCATATATACATATCTTCAGCTAGTTAAGAAAGGTTAGACAAAAACCACACAATAAACTCTTATTAAACTCTTAATAAATAGACTCTTCAAGAACATATTGTGGCTGCTCACTTAAAGGTCAACTGCGGGCTAATTATTTTTTTTAAAGTCCCTCTGGAAGTTGCTGTCCCCCGCAGTAATTGTTTTCTACCACAAGATGTCTTCAGTCTTCCAAGTGAAATGATGCCCCGCATATTTAACCTGCAAGACTGAGAACAAACAGGGAGCGCGGGGACTCATGGAACCTGAGAGGTTGGCACCACAGCGGCCTGCACTCCAAAGTATTGATGCAAAGAGTGTAATGTGTGCTATCACAACCATTTTCTGAATCATCCAGGTCTGCCCACCACTCGGAGAAGATCCAAGGAGGGAACAAGTGAAGCCTGAAGTTGGGCTTTAACCATATGCTTTGGCATTTTGTCATGGTATCGCTGCTCAAGAGCAATGTTTCTGATGTCAGCACCACTCTATACATAATCCAGGCCTGCCCACTACCAGGAGAAGATCCAATGAGGGAGAAAGGGTTGAGTCTGGCTTGTGACTTTAAAGGAAAATTATTGGGAGAGTAAAATGTACTCTATCCAATAGTCTGAGCTGCTATGTGACACTGCAGCTGTCACATGTTGGCTCTATAGCTTGAGAGCTGAGCAATCACAAACCGCTAATTGCTCAGCTCATAGCTCCTCCCTGCAGAGAGTGGTGACTGTCAGTCACCGCTCCCCACAGGGATTCTCCTCTTCCCTCTCTCCATTCCTCTAGCGATTAGTGGAGAGACAGACGGGGGAGCCCTAGAGGTGCAGAGCCAGCTGTAAATCAGGCAGCAAGTAGTTGGCAGCAGCATTGCCAGGATCTTTCCCAGCTGCAGCGCGGCTCAGCATTGTCAGTAAATAGCGAGCAGTAGCCTGCTCTATGCTGACTTGGGTCACAGGAGGACATTAGTAAATGTCCTCCTGTGACCCATATGAGAACTATAGCCAAAAAAAAGGTTTGGTTTTAGTTCTCTTTTAACCATTTGGTCATGTTATCGCTGTTCAAGATCAATGTTTTCTTTAGGACAGGTATTTCAGAGGTATAGGCAGGTGGGGGAGTGAATGATATGTCGTTTTAAATCCAGTTAAAAAAATTAGATGATTAGATAGACACAGGAGTATGTAGAATGGCATATGCGAAACCGATCAGAACAGGGATTGTTGTTATTATATAGGATTTATATAACGCCAACAGTTTGCACAGTTCTTTATAATATAAGGAAGACATTACAATTACAATTCAAGACAATTCAATGCATGCAAATACACTGAGGTATATTAAAGAGAAAAAAAAATATGTTTATGGAATATTAACTAGGTCAGAAACCTGGTCAATAAAGCAGCGACAGACAGAAATATAAAACCAAAAGTGCAAATAAGGTAGATTATATACTGAAACACACAATCTAGATATACAATAGAAGAGATAACATGACTAAATAACAGCCTAGGAAGAGATAGAAAGAAGAAACAGCATTGTGCGCATAAGAGAAACAGCTAAATTGGAAAGATAAATTAGATAATGAGACAAAAAAATATTATACCAAGGTTATATGACAGATAGCTAGATTAAAAAGATGTATGAGAAAGCAATGATGATTTAATTGGAGAAAGAAAGAAAAAAACCAAAACCTCTGAAGCAGCATCTGCTATCATTTCTCCAGAAAGATTGGAAATAAATGTGTGTGATTCATAACGCAACTCCAGTGTGTGAGTAAAGAACATTATCATAATATTAAGCATTTTTATCTGTGTATCTAGATTTGCTTTTAATGTGAAGAATATCTTGCATTACAATGTATATATTTACATTTAGATGTATGGTACACAAGATAGCTAACTATATCTTCAGTGAGATGTATATGACACAACGATATAAGTGGGAGGCACTTACATTCAGTAAAAGTGATTGGCTCAGTCACCACTGATTCAAAGACTTTCGCCATATGTCTTTCTCTAAGCCTGGGGGAAAATAATGTTTACTTAAATGATGTAACTTTTTTTGTAATGAGTTACCCTGCAAAAAAAATACAAGGCTGACAGTCTCATTAACTACAAATCGTCAAAAGAGTGCATAAGTTTAAGCACAAGAAGGTAACAGCAAAATAATGATGATAATAATAGTAATAATTTGCCATTTTAGATTTCCTGCTTTGAATAACTATTGATACATACTATAAACACTGTTGATGCATAACTTCAAGTTACTAAATGGCAAAAACATAAAACTTGAAGATATAGACCTGTCTTTGGTGTTTCATGTACCATATATACTCGAGTATAAGCCGTCCCGAATATAAGCCGTCCCGAATATAAGCCGAGGTACCTACTTTTACCACAAAAAACTGGGAAAAAGTATTGATCCGAATATAAGCCGAGGGTGGGAAATGAGGCAGCTAAATGGTAGATAGAATCTTAGTAGTCCAGATGAAACAAACAAAACAAAAAAATAAACACAATAATTAAAAAAATGCCATATATAAGTTCTATGTGCAAAGGCTAGCAACCACAGTAACTGCTTCTGCTGGAGGGATTGTAACACAATTAATTTGAATTGGTTACTATTGATTACAGTGCTTAGTTGCCTAGCTTGCTTAGCTCCTTGAACTTACACAGTAAGGGAAAACACACACCTACACACAGAGTGAAGGCAGACACACTTAACAAAGCAGTGACAATTTTCATGCATGCAATGCATTAGTGTGGGAGATTTCTGTCATAAGCTGGCCATACACCTTACAATTATCTGCAGATTTTCTGTGGTCAGATGGAAAAGGTGCAACAGATTCCTCCATCTACACTTAACTGTGTGGATGGAGTAATCTCCACCTGGGCCAATCTGTTGCACTTTTTCCATCTGACCACAGAATATCTGCAGATAATTGTAAGGTGTATGGGCACCTTTATAGTAACATAGTAGGTGAGGTTGAATAAAGACCAAGGTCCATCCAGTTCAAAGTGTGTGTGTGTGTGTGTTTAACACATCCATATCCTTGCATATTTAGTGACTGAATGAACTCATCTAGAGCAGTGGTTCTCAACCTGTGTAACCTCAGGACCCATATTTGTCCTTGGTCATTAAGTCGCGACCCAAGTCGCACTGCAATGGACTGCACGGCATTGCGGTACGGCGCAACATACCTCCCACACCAGAGCGCGTAGTAGGTGTGATTGCGTGGTACAGTGCGTTACTCTGATCCAGGCACCTCTACAGGACACATGAGGGAGCTGTAAGCAATGCCTGTATTGATTGAGCTCCCTCGTGGCCATAGCCCCATCCTATCACACTTCAAGCCGACACTCGACGCCGGGCAGCATATTCTGAATGGCTGCTTGGCACAAGAACTGACAGTGCTGCGCTAGGGGGAGGCTGAGAAGCCTCTCACCTAGAAAAGTGGAAGGCACATGGTGACCCACTGAACATGGGGTCGCGACCCACTTTTGGGTCACGACCCACCAGTTGAGAACCAAGGATCTTGAGGTTTCTTGAAGTTATCTATGCTATCAGCGGATACCACTGCCGATGGAAGGGAATGCCACATTTCTCCAACCCGCACAGTAAAAAAAACCTTGTGCATTCTAAGATTGAACCCCCTTCTCTTCCAACCTCTTGTTGTGTCTGCGTGTTCTCAGTACTGTACTCGGTGAAAACGTGTTCCGAATATTGTGGTCCCCATTGAGGATTTTGAAGACTGCAATAAGGTCTCCTCTTAATCGCCTCCTTTCTAAGGAGAATACGTTTAATTGTTGCAGGCGGTCATCATACCTTAGGCCTTCTATCCCTTTAATTAATTTTGTAGCCCTTCTTTGAACTCTCCCAAGCTCGAGGACATCCTTCCTGAGAGTTGGCGTTCCAAAATTGCATCACATACTCAAGATGAGGCCCATCCACTGATTTATAAAGTGGAGGTATTATTCTCTTATTCCTTGCTACAATCCCTCTTTTAACCTCTTCGTGACGGGAGATGTACACTGCACGTCCCGCCACAAAGTGCCTATATAACTGGCCCTGTGCACTGTACGTGACGAGTTATTTAAGGCTCTGCAATGCCGGTAACCGCTGATTCTCAGCGGTTACCAGTCATTAATGAATGTCTCAGTATTGAGGCAGTCATTAATTAAATAGTTAAGCTTTTGTAAAAGCTTCTTTCATTCATTACATAAATACGGGATCACTAAGTAGCAATCCCGTATTTGACAGCTGAAAATAGCAGAGAGGTAGCAGAGTGACTCACCTCTCTGCTATTCCACTGAACCTTCACATTCTCAAATAATTCATCCCCACACAGCTCCCTCCTTATGTATCATTTCCCCCTCCTCTTTCAGATTGTAAGCCCTCAGGGGCAGGGCCCTCCTTACCATCTTGAATTGTATTGTAACTGTAATGTCTTCCTTATATTGTAAAGCGCTGCGCAAACTGTTGGCGCTAGATAAATCCCTTATAATAATAATAATTCGTTTTGACAGCTTGAAAGCCCAATGTTTATGATACATTTCAGGCACAGAAATGTTACAATGTATCTCTGTGCCTGAAATGTATCACTTCTGATCGTCTGACCACGATCAAAGACCTTTAGTGAGATCTGAATCTGACTTGCTGTCAGGATCAGTCTCTAAGGTTATTATTAGCTGTTCCTAAGTTTGGAGCATCCTAATAATAGCCAAAAATTAAAAAAGTTAATTTATCAAGCAGTCATAGTGACTGCTTGATATAAACTGACACAAAAAAAGTTTTTTGTTTTTTTTACAAAGTGTAAAAAAAATAAAATAAAGTGTAACAAAATG